ATCACATCATTTTTTGATAGTTCTAGTCGATATGTGTTAATCCTTTGGTTATTGACATAAGGGAAAGAAAAAAAAGATTTTCCTGAAAAATTATAATAACTATTGTCAAACTCTCGACATTTTGATATTATCATTTTCATAAAATAAAGGATAATGTGAAAGACTTCTATTGCATAATGTTTGCTTTTATGTCAATGTATCTAAAAAGAAAAAATATCTATTAATTTCACACAATGGGAAAGTTCATGACGTATATATATTCGTGTCATCGATAATCAAAAGGTTAAACATAAATATAAAATTCTTTTCATTTTTTTCAATGTTATGGAATATTTATTAAAATAAATTCTTTCTTTCTTTCTTTCTTTCTTTCTCTACAGAATTCATCACTATGATAACCAATACTTTTTCATAATAGTACAAGAAGAACTTCAATGGATGAATATATTCATTTAACTCTACAATGTCATGTTGTACTTGATTATTTGAAACAATCAACTATTGATCAAATAATGAAAAGTTCAATTGAAAATAATCAAACAAATATTGTTACAACAGTATGTATTTTGTTTAGAATAACTTAAATCTAATTATCTATAAATTTTATTTTATAATCGTAGTCAAAAATAAAACAATTATTATGAAATACATCTCAATAAGAAAATTCTTCTCTTTCTAAAGTTCAACAATCATTAAATCAAACAACAACAAAAACTACAACAATACGAACAACTATGACAAATGGAAAAAACAACTGTTAAACAAAAATGAACAACAACAACATATAATGATTGAAAACGTTTTAAACAAAATCATCTGACAATGATTGTATTGATATATCTGATAATGATCAAACAACATTAACATATCAATGTATTTATTTAAAATGTTTTGTTTGTTCAAAACGTGAATATATTGATGCACAAACAACAAATAGTAACACATATTACATTCACATTAGCTTGAACATGGTAATGATTTATCATTAAATATTTATGATTCCATAATTAATACAATTTTAACATATATTATAGAATTTTTCTATTTTCCCCTAAACGACATACATTAGAAGGAAAAATTCAAATTGTATTTATATTAAATTCAAAAGAAATACGCAAGACTCCATCAAATTCATTTGATGATGATGATACATATATAGTTCTTGATTAAAAAAGAGAAATATTAATTTGATTTCATTCTTTCTTTCTTCTGTTTTTTTCTTCTCAGGAATTGTATTCGATTAAACTTCTTTTCTTTTTCTTTTTCGCGTTTCTTCTATCTTTTCTTGTTCTATCTACCGTGTATAATCATTTGTTTTTCTATTTATTTTCTATTCGTATATGCACGTTGTTCTGTCTATTTCCAACAAAATAACAGATGTTCATTTGAATTTTCTCTTTCTTACTTTTCTTTCGTGTTTTTTTTTTGTTCTTCCGTTTGTCTTTTTTTTTTTTTTGTTTTTGACTCATCGAAATTAGAAGAAAGTAGAAAAAAAAATATTTACATTTGTATAAATAAATATTCAATACAAACATATTTATTAATTATCGATGGAAACATGTATATACAGGATGGTCCAAAAGTAATGTGACACGGAATTTTTGTTGAATTTTTTCTTAATAGATCGATAGTTAAATTTCATATTTCGATCATATATACTATATGACAATATTCAGAGACACAGTCTATCATCAGCCATTACCTTTAAGAGTTTATTGAAAAATGTTCGAATACTTCTCATGCACTCCTATGTGACTGTTACAGAATTAGTCTATTGTTGTTTATGGAAGTCAATTGACTTTTGTTCCTCGTTATACCTTGTTTTTGAGTAATTTTGTATGCAACAAACTTAGAGCAATGTAAAAATTCATTGAATTCAAATCATCCTGAACGTTTTGATGCAAATAGACACAAAATAGTAACAAAATACGACAAGAAAACAATGAACTTTTTCAATAATCAAATTAGTGTACAAAAGAAAGATTCATGAATTTTTCAAGAAATTCTTAAGGATAAAGATTGATGATAGATCGCTTCTCTGAGTATTATCATATAATATATGTGATACAAATATGAGATCTATTCGTCTAACTATTAAGAAAAAATTGAAAAGAATTCGATATCATGTTATTTTTGGGTCACCCTGTATATATATATTCTTTTTATTTGTATCAATTACTAAATGTTTGAAAATATCGATTTGAAATGAAAAAGTAAAACATGTATATCTTTATGATATTCATTGATTTAATACATTATTTTGTGATTATTTTAGAAGACGATAAATTTAGGAATTGTTGTTAAAGAATATCCAGAGGAGAACAAAAAATATCTTATTTTATTATTTAGGAAAGTTTTGAAAATAAGTATTATATCTAAAACATAAAGAAATATTACAATACAGTTAATACTATTGAATATGGTTCAATATTTTTTCAATAGTATCAAACTTGAAAGTTGAATTCAATTAAACAACTACTATTCAAGTTTCAAATTTCAATTTTGTATATTTCAGCAGCACCCACATCGACAAGGTAGCTATGTTCAGAGATAGAACTGGTACCAAGTTACTGTTCAGTTCGACATTGGTACGAGTTCTACATCGGCTGGTCATCGATAGACCGATCCGTTTGATCTTTTCAAACTAGTACTAGTCGTCAAAAATTCAGACTGGTTCCATCTCTATATCAGGATGTGATACAGCTTAGTACATCAAGTTTGTCACGTGATAAACCGAATCTTCCATATCTAAACTATTCTTTCTCTAGTATTTCATAAATGATAAAAGATGGCAAAATCTTGTTTTTTTTTTAATGTATAGTTATGTTATTATTTGACAGTTTTAACCCAGCGACACAATTTTTTTCACTCTTAAATAATAGCTGATTTTGTAGAACTTTTCACGCTCTATCGAATGGAATATAAGAGAAATCTAGTGGTAGTTGTTATTGTGAAAAATCAGACACATAAGTATAATTCATATATGGAAAAAAAAAAAAAAAAAAGGCAAAAATCTTGTTTTCTATGTATAGTTATGGTATTCTTTGATAGTTTTGACTCACGGGTAGAGCTTATCGGGTCCAAGAATTTTTGGATCCGCACTCGACTGATTAAAACTTTTTAGACCAGGATCCGCTCAGTTTAATTTTTGCTGGGCCCGGAACCGGACCCGTAGTCGATCTATCAGAATTTTCGGACCTGGACATGATTGATTAATTTTTCATTGGCCTGGATTTGAATTGCACTTTTACTCCTCTTAATAAAATTTTCTACTCTGATTTTGACTATCGCTCTGAAGATGCGATATATTTTTCATTTTTTTTTTCTATTACATGACTAGCATACGTAGAGAACTCAATTCATATTTATTTTCAACTTAATTCATGCGTAAATTAAGTTATTGATAATTTATATTTAAAATAAATACAGAAATGTTGTTTTAATAATTTATATTTATTATTATGTATAAATAAATTTTTTTCATAGCTTATATTTAAAACTAAACAAAATGATCATACATGATATATATTTTAAATATAAATTATCAAAGAAAACATATTTATCTTTGTTTTAAATATAAATTATCGATAATTTATATTTATTCTAAATTAACATGAAAAATGATATCTTTAAGTATATTTTACATATTCCTAAAAACAATCCGACATAGATTTCGTAATAATTAAATTACAATTAATTCTTATTTCTATCAATAGTTCCTTATAGAAGAATGAATGTATACATTACAAAGGCTTTATATTATTTGTTCTATTCAACACTCATTCAATTATCAATAATATATAGTTTTGTACTGAATCATATACATGAAAAAAATTATATACATGAAAAAAATCATATACGATGAATTTTTCTAAAGAAGAAGAAGAAGAAGTAACTTGTCTACTTAATAAAAAATTATAACAAGTCAATCACATTTTATAAGCCAAACAAATCTTATACTTTTTTTTATAAATAAATTAAGGTTTTTCGAATAAAACGATCAAAAAATTTAAAGAAACTCGTAAAATATCATTATATTCATCAAAAATATTTTTTTATTCAGACTCAATAAATAAAAATTTTCAGACTCGGATCCGGACTCAGATCCCGTCAAAACATAATTTTTAGACCCGAACCCGGTCGGGTCCGAGTTCGGTTCGGGATCGGATCTACCCATGGTCTCACTTTTATAGACTCTTAAAAATAACTGATTTTCCAAAGCTTTTCAAGTTCTATCGAATGGTATATAAGAGAGATTTGAATATTGTTTCTATTTTGAAAAGTTAAATACATAATTTGTATTCCATATATGATAAAAGATGAGAAAAAATCTTCGTTTTCATGTATAGTTATGTTATTATTCGACAATTTTGAGCTGTGGACCCATTTTTTTGGATTTTTTAAAAATAGCTAGTTTTCTAGAACTTCTCAAATTCTATCGAATCGTATATAAGAAAAATTTGAACATCGTTTCTATTTTGCAAAAGTCAAGTATATAAATATATTTCATATATTTATATGAGAAATATATTGTTATTGTGTAGATAATGGAGAATATCTATTTCATCTGACAACAATTAAAATAGTAATAAAAATGAATGAATTTATAAGAAAAATATAGTCTGACGAGAAGATTCATCAATAGATCGTTGAGTTAATGTCAATTTTGAATTTTCTTTCTTTAAAAAGTTCATCATAATATTATACAATGTTTTTGATCAACTAATGAATGAAATTGTGATCAATACAAGACCCCAATGATAATCAAAATCTTATAAAAACACATCGAATTTACCATCAAAATCATCACGACACTTTTCTCTATTGATTCATATATAGATTCAATGGTACTAATAACCAAAATTAACAGGGATTAAATTCCAGCCCTTATACGCCCTCGTCCTTTATCTCTCATATTAAAATCGAATATTTTTTTTGTTATTTTTATTATTTAATTGAATTCTTTTTTTCTTTTTTGCTTGCTTCACTTGCAAATGTTTTTATTTTTCTTTTGGAAAAACTAAATATTGTGTATGAATAACATTAATTAATGTTCGATTATTTTCAATCTATCAAAAGACAAATTATATCATATGAAAATAAGAATTATTTTATTTGAAATACAAGTTTAAGATCTGTATGATTAAGAATATACAATCGTGAATATAATAATAAACGATATGATTCATGAAAAGCATTAATACGTAAAATTATTCTCTTTTAAAATTAAGAAAAAAAAAAAAAAAAAGTTCTTTAAATTCGATTTTTATTGCAAAAAAAAACCAAAGACATATTGACTTAATAAATAATTAAGTAAATTTATTCCAAAAAGAAAAACACAAAACAAAAATAAATATAATTATATTTTATTTTCACCTTTTTAATATCTATATCACCATTAATACTATATATTATTTTATTTAGCTGATTTATTGTTCTTTTTCTCGAGCTAAAATGTTCACTAAATTTATCAATTTTTATCATCATCTTTAACTATGTATCAATATTCTATTTAATAATTTTAATTCTATATTAATATTATCATTTTTTAATTAATTACATTTTTTTTTATCAATATTTAATTGTTGTTGGTTTAAGAATTCTATAATACTTTTATTAAATTCTTTTTGAATTTCTATAAAGTTTTTATTGATTTGTTGTTGATCCTTTATAAATAATTCTTGTTGATTTTGAATTAATGTAATATTTTTATTGATTTGTTGTTGTTGTTCTTTAAAGGATTCGAAAATATTTTTATTGATTTGTTGTTGTTCTTTTAAGGATTCGAAAATATTTTTATTCATTTGTTGTTGATCATTTATAAATGATTCTTGTTGATTTTGAATTGCTGTAATATTTTTATTTATTTGTTCTTGATTTACTTTTATATCGACACCCAGGTGGATCATTCCGGCCGTCGGAAACGGCGTCCCCATGTCGCTAAAATCGGTCTAAAACCGCCGGTTAACCGCGGTTAACCATCCGGTTAACTGAGCGCTTAACCGTTCGGTTAACTGAGCGCTTAACCGTTCGGTTAACTGGAGTTAACCGCGGTTAACCGCCGGTTCTTTTTCATGATATATTTTTATTTCTCACTGGATGAGTATTTTTTAACTCTTAGAAAATTGTCAGATTTGAGTCGAAATCGCGCTTCCCTATATTTGTAAACGCGCTGAAGCCGCCGGTACTAGCCACATCGGCTAATTTTGCTTAATTTACGAGTTTGAATATTTCATTAAAGATGCCGCTAGAAAAATCACAATAAGTTAGAACATTAACCAATAGAAAAATTTGTAGTGTCATCTAAAAAAATGTACTAAAAGAGACTTAAATCGTTTTTTTTGAGTAAAAAATGATGTTTTTAGAAAGACCAATATTAATTTTATCAAAAAATCGGTCGAAAACTGATGAAAAACAAATGAACCGGTCGAACCGGCGGTTTTTTCACAAACCGCGGTTAACCGACGCTTTTAATAAAAAAGAAGCGACATGGGTCGTATCCGGCCTGAAGCGACATGGGTCGTATCCGGCCTGAAACGACTATAAAACGGCGAATTACTGCAGTAATTTTGGCCTTATTTCGCCGTAATCCGTCATACCGTATTACGACCACCGTCTATCGCTAGAAAACGGCGGTCGTTTTTTTCCGGTTTTGCTTCCGTAATCTGGTATGACGGATTACGGTGCCGTTTATTGACGTTTTACATGGTTAATCGCCGTTTTATAGCCGTTTCAGGCCGTTTACGACGCCGTTTTATTGGACCTGGGCAAGAAGATTAATTATTGTTTGTTTTGTTATTCGATGATGGTGGTCGTGGTGATGTGGTGGTTGTTCATTCTAGAATATAAAGATATTATTGTTTAATAATAATAAAGTTATTTTATAAAAAAAAAAAAGAAAAGAGAATTTATTTACTGCTTCAAATCCTTCATCATCAGTCATCCATGTGCTGCTGTCATGACCATTATTTTCAGTGGATAGTGAATGCATTGAATAGAAAAATTCAATAATATTCTCAACGATGTTTTGTAAATGTCCTTAGCTGATGAGAAGCATATATATACTCTCGATCAATTATTGAAATGAATACACCATTGTCGGGGTCATCATTTATGAAAAAATTGCCGGACGAAAATTAGAAAAAGAAAATATTTTATATTCAACAAATGATTAGCTTGTTAAAAAAGTTAGAAACGGACAGTTGAGAACAAATTTTGTCGATTCATTCTAATCAATTCTTGTCAGATAATGAAACAAATAACTGTCAAAAAAAAAAAAAAATAATTTTTTTAAAATTTTATATCAATATCTGATTTAATTCAAACTAGCGATGTTATTATTCGTATACATAATCAAATATATAAATGTCATCGTACAATACTTTCAGCACGTTCATCATATTTTCAAACATTATTTTATTTTAGTTTTAATAAAAAATGTCAAAAAGAAATAAATTTTCATTGATTTCTCTCTCGAATGAAAATCATTATGGTCTTTTATATTCTTATATATATATATTAAGTTGAAATAAATTTAACATAATATAATATATTCAATTAATTGATAAATTTCTTTTAGATGATTTATATAAATAATGTTAACAATATTTATTAAATGGTAATGATATTAATGAAACAAATCTTTAGAATATTCTTTATATATATATATATATATATATATATAATACAGTAGATGGAAAAATATCTTGAAATATTCAAGAAAAATATTTTAATATACTTCAAAAATAATTGACATTTAATTAATGATCACTATCATGATTTACTTAAACGATATTCTCATTTATCTATTGAAATATGGTAAATTTTTTTTTTGTTGTTTTCTTTTAGATTTAAAAAAATAGGAATAAAACAAAAAAAAAATGCCGGACTAATTAATGATATGAATAGTAATGATGATTTCGATCATGATTATGAATTAAATACAAATGAACAATTCAATGCTAATCTTACAAATCAATATTATAATTGAAAAGGTTTAAAAGAAGATGATCTAGTTGCTGCTAATGAAAATTTTCAAAAAAATTTCTTGCATTAGAAGAAAAGAGTGGTGAAAAAGATTATTATGCTTTTCAAGTACTTAAACATATGATGAAAATTCATTTTAAAATGGTATATTATAATGATATGTTGGCACATTATAAATAATTGAAAGTTTTTGATTTCAAAATTATTTATTCAAAATAGGAGAATAATTCATCTCATTGAGATTACGATGAGTTTTGAGAAAGGTTATAAATAATTTTTTAAAATCTCTTTCTGATGACAATACAGACTAATAGGTACACATATTGGTGTTTCTTTTCATTAATCTTACCGTATCTGATGGTATTTTTTTATCTTCATCAATACGAGTTGATTCACCTTGTGGTAGAAATTGATAATTTTTAGTTTTATCTGATATTAAAAAAAAACCAAGATATATTTGATCGATTACACTTCAATTATACTAAAACCTAACTTACGTTTGGCTTTATATTGACCATTTTCTTTTGATGACGATTTATGTGCAGAATATTGTAGTGAAGATGCCATTGTTCATTTTTATCTAAATAAAATATATAGAAAGAAAATAATTCTAAAATAAAACTATTCGTTGTTTTATTTTTTTAAGAAAATAATGGTGTATGAAAAGTTTGTCGATCTATTCAGTTTTTATTTATCTGTTTTCATTTGACTTACTACAGAAGGGTGTGGGTGTGGGTGTGTGGGTGTGGGTGTGACTTAAAAGAAAACAACACCCATACCCACACCCTGGGATGGGTTGGGTGTGGATGTGGGTGTTGTTTTCTTTTAAGTCACACCCCACACCCGCCAGATCAAACATGTAAGATTGTAAACGGCCAGAAGACTCAGAAAAACTTGTTGTTTCCGGAATGTTTCCTCAAGATCGATAGGCCAACATCATCGATCTAGGTTACTTTGTTTTTTTAGCTGTACGATATGTAGTGTCTCTGTAATATTTATCAAAAACACAATGCAAATCTTTGTGCAGATGATAGACTTTTCTGTCTAAAAATTTTCTCGATTTAAACTATTTTCAAGCTGCTTACGTGCGCTTAGATACATGTAAAGTACTGATAAGCAAGTATAAGTCAAAGATTCAAGCTATCTTAAGAGAACTACGTTCTTGAAGTCCCAGATAAGTGATTAGCACGAATGAAATGTTATAATTTCTTGTTAAATACAGTTACTATATTAGTTATCAAAGTGTATGGATCACTCATCCCCTCTTTTTGAGATCATGTGAATACTCATATGTCAAGTTTGAATATAAGTGTAAAATATGCAACACCTTTTACCTCCTTTACGATCAACTTTATTCACTTTTTGGTGCGACTTCGATTGTCCTAAAAATAGACATCAAAAGGTTACAAAACAACTAAATCGATATATCCGCGTGGCAAAAAATAGTTGGACACAGTATTTTCCACAAAT